ACACGTGTGGAGGTCAGGTCTCACTGTGGCACACGTGTGGAGGTCAGGTCTCACTATGGCACACGTGTGGAGGTCAGTTCTCTCCTTCCACCTTTGCACGGGTTCTGGTGACGGCTTCAGCTCTTCGGGCTGGTGCGCTAGTGTGTTTACACACGGAGCCATGCCACTGGCCCCTTGAACTCGTCTTTTCCAGGATGAGGGACAGACATCTATTTCATTCTGTATATAGATACGCAATTTCCCCTGAGCCATTTTTAGAGACTTATTTCAATGTGTTTGGGCACGTTTGTCAAAATCAGGTAACTGCTCCCTTGGGGTGGTTTTGTTTGTTTGTTTGTTTGTTTTAGACTCTTAGACTCCGTCCATTGGTCTGTATGTATTTTGTGCTGGCCCCATGCTATTTTTGTCCCCTATGGCTCTACGATCCGCTATGGAGTTAGGTGTTGTGATAGTCACAGGCTTGAACTTTTTAAAATTGCAAACACTTTCTTCTCTCTCTTAGAAATTATTGACAACATTATTTTATAGAAATCCTGGAGTACAACCAAAAACTTTTAAAGAGAAGCAAAGATTTCTGAAGGAAATCTTTATTTGAAAATATAATGTAATCAACAAAAGTTCAAATCAAATACAATTTAAAAAACTATCCCAGGTGGAGTGGTGGAGACACACACCTTTAATCCCAGCACTCGGAAGACAGAGGTAGATGGATCTCTGTGAGTTTGAGGCCAGCCTGGTTTACAGAGCAAATTCCAGGACAGGCCCCAAAGCTACAGAGAAACCCTGACTTGAAAACAAACAAACAAACAAAGAATTATCCCAAGTCACATTTCCTTATGAGCTAGTGTGTGTGTGTGTGTGTGTGTGTGTGTTGTGATAGTATGTAGGGGACCATATGGGAAGGAAAAGGGGATGAGCCAGAGTGGGGGAGAGAGGTGGGAGTTATGAGGCTGAATGGGATACTCCTATAACAATGGTGTAATAAAACGTAATAATGATATAGACTAGTCAAAATTTTAAAAATTGAGAGCACACAGAGAACTAGAGAAGATAATTTACATACCAGTTTCTGTCCCCTCTTTCTTAATCCTCAGGATCCACGAAACACACTTCTGAATGTAACAGGGCAGGGACCAGGATGGAGAGGCCTTGGGGAAATGAAGACAGAGGTCAGGTCCAGGGAGCTCTTGCTGCTCCCGGTGTCTTGGAGCCTGGCCTTCCTCACACCTTTTCTCAGACTGTGCACCAAGGACAATGGCTGGACAAGGGCTCTTTTGCAGCCAGACCTCACCACTGTACTGACCAGGACACTGCTCATGTGACTCCTTGTGGCCCCACCTCCCTCGCTTTGCCCCTCCCCAAGCTGCTTGTCTTGCCCTGTCCTTGTTTCTACCATTTCCGTCCTTGTCCACTTCCGTAGCACAGTTTCTCCAGCATGGAAGCATTGCTGTAAAGATCAGGACTGCCTCCCTCTCGCCCATTTACCCAGTTACCTACCTGCTACCCACCCAAAACCTTGAGCCCTGTCATGAGACCAGGGTTCTATCGCGTGTTGTAGGAGAGATTTACAAGCAACCTACAGATAAAGAGCATTTTCTGAGTTCAGGATGACATAAGGGACCATGAAGATATTGGATCTTCACAACAAGCACATAGGTGACCAGAAAAAGATAAAAACAAGTTGAGAGGTGAAATCAAACTTGTGCAAATCTCCTACTTTGTTATTATACCCTACAGGAGGGAGACATAAACACAGTGACCTAAAGAGAAGGGACCTGACAGTGTTTGCCCTGGGCCACCAAAGAGTCAACAGTTAGGCAAACAAGTTAAGCAGTCTAAGGACAGGAAACAGAACGGTATACGGAGCAGTGGGGATGGGCTAAGCAGAAATGACTCTGATCTGCATCTAGAAGTCCCTTACTGAGCTTGCTTAACTCCTAGAGGTCAAGCAGGCCAGTAGGAGGTAGGTCAGTAGATGCGGCCTGCTCCGGCATGCCTCTATGGCACCTGACCTGCACTGGGCGGCGGGAAAGGCAGCTGGACGCTGGTCTCTAGGGGAAAGTAACTTCAGGTGCTGCTGGTAGTCCCAGGGTAAAGAACAATAACAAGAAATAATAATCAAGGATGTGCTTCTGTGATCTACTCCAAAAAGAGCAGAAACATGTGCCAGACTCCCAGATCAGCAGTCTAGAGCACACCCCTGTGCCCGTGACATTGCCTTTAAACCAGGAACGGACAGAGAGCTCAGAACAGGAAATGCTGTGGCCTTACAGGTGCTGGGGTAGGGGTGGACTTTTTACCCTCCACCTGGCACACGTGTCAAGTCTATCTTGAGGGTAAACTGTCATGTGGATGCCCTCTCCTATATTTTAATGACCCAGGAATCGTCTTGAAAACCAGGCACATGCTCATGATATGCTCTCAAATCCCCAGATTATAATCTGAATTCTCTACCTACAGTAGGCATTTTGTTATTCCGTGGGAGACAGACTAATGCAGCAGGTTGTAGAAGGTCACTGCTTTATCCTGTCTCTGGACTCTCGGACGTCTTCTCAGCTCTGAAGACTGAGGAGCCTTCAGCCAAACAGAGGCAATCAGTGCAAGCCTTCAGGTGGGAGATGGGAGCTGAATCATCCCCCTCTCCGTTTGCTGAGTGGCCCAGGATACCTCTAACCTCTGACTCTGTCAAGCTAGAATGCCAACTGTGAAGCGCATTCTTTGCTGTCCGTGGGTTTGATGAGCGGAGCTGGGCCAGTCTCAGAGCAGCAGCCATGAGAAGATGAGCTTTGAATCACCAACAACCTGTCTACAGGGAGCATGAAACGTGGGGAGTGGACCGAGCTTCTAAGTGGTTAATCTCATTAAATCAATGTAAAATCGGAAGCTCATTTCTGTCCTAGATATAGTATTGGGTTGCAAAGACCAAGAGAGTACAACGTGAGGGGAAACTGGCTTGCCCTCTCCCGGTGTTCGGTTGCACACTTGGTCTCTTGCCCTGATCGGCTCCCACACTCTCAAGCCCCCCGTCGGTACGCACACAACACTAGCTTTGCTTGTGAGGTGCTAGGGACACTAATCTGGGGATGTTAACATCAAGGCCGAGCTGTGCTTTTTGGACGGGCACAGTATGTGGAAGTAACAGAAGTATCAGAGACAGAATGAGGACAAAATGCTAACTCCACGAGCCGTTCTTATCTCCTGAGCCTAGTTAGGACCCAGATGGACGGCTAGTTCAACGTCTGGGGCGCCACAGACTGAGGGATGGAATTTCCAGAAGAATAATATCTTATCCCAGGTAAACTTCATGCGTTTCTGAAACAGAAAATACTTTAACAGTAGCGTCAACATCAGGACCGGATGGTAGGCATCTGGAAGCAGATGAACAGTGGGAAGGGGTTTCTGTTCTATTTTCAGGATGCTTGTACTGTGAACTGCTATCTCAGGGCCAACTTTAGTGTCCATTCTCCTGTCTCAGGTTCCTGCCAGAATCTGGGGTCATCTGTGGCTACAGCAAGGCTCTGCTTCAGAGGAACTCTCAGCACAGAATTCATGCTGAAATGGGTCAAGGGAAAGGAACTTTGGAACTTTTTTTTTAAAAAAAGACTTATGAATAAGGAAACTTATGAAGAATTCTGGCCAGATAAAGGACAGGAAGCTTCAGCTTATCCAGGAACAGTGATTGTGAAACATATCTCATCCTCATAGAACACTGTGAGCGTGTCTTGGGCTTGGGTAGGAGTCCAGCCAGGAAGGCCCAGAGGAAGTGTCAGCACTCCCGACAGTGTTGCTCACGGACTGTTTAGGAGCCTGAAGATGGAGTGAGAAGAGATGGAAGAGAGGAGAAGGAGAAAGCAAGACAAAGGCAGCTTAGTCAGTCATGTGTGCATGAAGTGCACACATAGTGCAGGCCAGGGACCACCCCACCCTGGTCCTGCACCCAGAGGCTGACCTCAGTCCCTGCCTTCAGCTTCTCAAGTCTCCACATGCACTGCTGTATTGTCTCTCTTGATCAGTGCTTGACGAACATCATCCTTAGTTCAGAGTCTGAATTTAATCCCTAGCAGATGTCCCATCATATTTACTGGCTAGTCATTTAGAAATGATAGTATTGGAAAACTTTGCCTGCAGTCCTAATCTGGCTACAGAGCAAGCAAGATATAACTGCCTTACTGAAAAAGGTACCAAGCCACGTGGATAACATAGACAAGAATAATGGGCTAATACAAGTTATAAGAGTTAATAAGAAGCCTGAGCTAATGGGCCAAATCAGTTTATAATTTGTAGGGCCCGGTCTACCTTTGCTCCCTGAGGTGAAAATTGAGGACGGTTTCTGGCCAGCCGGCTAAGCATTCCGATTTGCTTCTGTGCTCCCTCTGCCCTAGCTTGGTGATTAGCTGTAGGGCATTGTTTCATCTTTGGTATGGTAATTTCCCACCTGCCCTGGAGGAAATTCTTGCAGCAGCCAGATTCCCCCCTGCCGGAGAGGTAATCCTTTTGCAGCAGCCAAAGTATATTAGTTTTGCAAAAAGCTAAATAAAGTGGCATTCAGCTGATCTCTTTTTGAATGACCATGGTCTCTTGTATGTTTCTTTCAATCTCCAAGCCTTTGCCCAAACTCGTGTAAGGTACGGTTGCGCATGAACTGTACCGAGAGGGTAACACAGAATCGGGTGTTACAATAATTAATGTAAACCTCTGTGTGATTTCTTTGGGACTTAACAACTGTGGGAACCAGGCAGGACAGAAAACTCAGTCAACAAATGGCACCCACGTGGACATCTGCTTCCACATAAAGCCTGAGAGAACTTGGGAAGTAATTCTAGACAAAAAAGAATAGAGTTAAGCACAGCTTATTGATAGCAGCATTTTCTCAGGTGAGCTCTGTTTGCTAGAGGCAAATGTGTCTCATTTAAGGGAGGCTTCCTGACTCAACTTTAGCTGTAAAACCTTGCAGCTCTTTTAAGAGTCCCTACCAAGAAACATTTAAATGGTGTTGATGAAAAGCTGACTACATGCTTTTTGGTTTTTAGCCATAGCAGGAAAAAAGCCACACCATTTTAAAATGCCCTCTTTCTGGGCCGTCCTGCCAGTGCAAACTCTGTCTCTTTCAGGCAGGAGGTCCAGCTACAGAGCATTTGAATGTGGTTTGTGAGCAGACTGATGCAGCTTGCTTGCTGGCAGGGACCTGGAAACACTATGGAGTTGTGGCAATAAACATGGCTACAGCCAGTACCTCCGCCATGAGGCTGGAATCTCAGAAAGCTAAGAAATGGACTAGATCCAGCTGCCAAAGTCACGTCTTTAACCTTAGCCATATCACTTAGCAAATTAAAGACTCAGGTGGTCAGAAAAAAAGAGATATACAGTAAAGACAGTGTCAAAGATGAAGCAAACCTCTAAATGGCTTACAGCATGCTAAAAATATATGCAGGCTAAAAGGTTAAAGTCCTTAAAATAAAAAAGAAAGAGAGTAGTTGGGTGCAATGGCACACACCTTTAATCCCAACACTTGGAAGATGGAGGAAAGAAGACCTCTGTGAGTTCAAAGTGTGGTGGCACATTCCTTTAATTCCAGCACTTGGGAGGCAGAGGCAGGCAGACCTCTGTGGGTTCAAGAACAACCTGGTCTACAGAGTAAATTCCAGGATAGACAAACATACACAGAGAAACCCTGTCTCAAAAAGCCAGAAATTAAAAATAAAAGAAATAGAGGTTAAAATAAAGCAATGTAAAGATGAGAAACACACAGAGAGTCTGGATACTGTATGTTATTATGTTCTCTTTGAATTGCTTAAATGCTGAGGAAGGAGCAACAGCTGCCAAAAGATATTAGTTTATATATGCTGAAGACAGAACAAAATTGTGGGAGAAAGAAAGCAGAGGAAGACAGATGTGATGAAGTTCCAGCCCAAGATGGATGTAGGTTAGAATCTTCCTGGTAAGCCACCACCTCGTGGTGCTACACACATTAATAGAAATGGGTTGATCAGGATATGAGAGTTAGTCAGTAAGAGGCTAGAGCTAATGGGCTAGGCAGTGTTTAAATGAATACAATTTGTGTGTTGTTATTTCGGGTGTAAAGCTAGCCATGCGGGAGCCGGGCAGGACGAAAGCAGGCCTGCTTGCCTCATCACTACATACCCAAACCTATGGGACACTAAGAAAGCAGTGCTAAGAAGAAAGTTCATAACACTAAGTGTCCACATAAAGAAAATGGAAAAAGCTCACATTAGTGACTTAACAGCACACCTGGAAGCTCTAGAACAAAAAGAAGCAAACTCACCTAGGAGGAGTAAAAGACAGGAAATAATCAAATTGAGAGCTGAAATTAACAAGATAGAAACAAAGAAAACAATACAAAGAATCAATAAAACAAAGAGATGGTTCTTTGAGAAAATCAACAAGATTGACAAACCCTTATCCAAACTTTAATCAGAAGGTGGAGAGAGAACATTCAAATTAACAAAATCAGAAATGGAAAGGGGGACATAAAAACAGACCCTGAGGAAATTCAGAGAATTATTAGGTCATCCTACACAGACTTGTACTCCACAAAATTGAAAAATATAAAATAAATGGACAATTTTTTAAGATAGATACCATATACCAAAATTAAATCAAGGCTAGGTGAACAATTTAAATGACCTATAAGCTTCAAGGAAATAGAAGCTGTCATCAAAAACCTCCCAATCAAGAAAGGCCCAGGGCCAGATGGTTTTAGCGCATTTTTGCTCTCTGTTTCCTTTTCTGTCCAACGCAGCGGCTGCCCAGGTCAGTAGCTCCAACAGTGTGACAGCTCACCCCAGAGTCCAGCATGTGCTGGGTGCCAACACTCCTAACCCAGCTGAACCAGGGATGTGTACCAAGGATGCTGCACCCCAGACTAAAAAGAACAAGTTGGCTTTCAGCTGTTTGTCAGTGTGTCCTTTGGGTGTGTTTTCTAAGGAACCTAAGCATCTTCATCTTGTTATTAGATACAGTAACAGGGTTCTGATCTGTATCAACTCTGTGTGAGTGGGTTGGAAGGGGCCGAGTGCTAGAAGATGTTAATCTGTCGGATTCATCCAACCTCCCAGAATCTATCACCAAACCACATGAGCCGTGTCTGCTGCTAAATGTACCTTCTGGTTAATGTGTCTAATGTGACCACATTACGATGATGGACAGTCTGGGAAACCCCTCGGGCTATCCTCCTACTAGAAAGGCTTAGGATCCAAGCCCTTGGTGTTCAAGTGATGTTCAAGTGGCTGTGTGGCGAATGTAGGTGTGCCCCAGGATATCAGCACCAGGATCTATGCTTAGCTGGTCTGGGCCCTTCATTTCTGCACGATCTCTAGGTGGGAATCTATCTTATGAGGGTATACAGAGGCCTGCACACACTCACAAGGACTTTCTCACAGAGGCCTCCCTGCCCTCATGCCTACAAATCTGTGCCACCAAAATGACAACAGCTGCTCCTGGGGACAGCAGTAGGTAGTTCACATTCTTCACTGGACCATGGGTCCCATTCATAAAACTCCAGAAGGAAACTGGGAGCCAGATGGATATTTTTAGACACAACCGTGCAAAAAAAAAGTTCAACCTTTCTTAACACGAACTTTTTTTCTCAGGGTATGAGTTAGTTGGGAATATGTATAGTTGTCACTGTCTGTGGAGTCTGACAGCAATTACAGAAATAAATTTAGCCAAGTCCCATTGTCACAGCTGTGTTATGCACTGCAGTGACTCTGGGGCTGGATTGGAAGGAGGTGAAGGCCACGCCCCCCAAGTGAAGCCCAGAGTGTTTAAGGAGATGCAAGGGTTCTATATGGAAGCACTCTCGGGTCCCTTTGGGGGTAGCAGAATTCTTTCTGAAGCAGGCAGGAAAAGCTACGTCGAAGAACACAGTTTCTGTGCTAAGTTGGTATAGGTGGTGTCTAATGTGAGAGCAACTGGGCATCAGTTGGCAATATGCTTGCACTTACAACCTGCCGTGTGCATTGTATATAGTTCCGGGTTTGAAGATGATTGGCAGATAGAAACCAAGTAAACAACATTTCCATCTCAGACAAGGACAGCTTTACCTTCCTAAGAGGCAGGTCCTCCTCACAAGGAACCATCTCCATCAGGACCTTAGGGCCAGGAGGAAACAGGAAATGTCAGTACATTGTTCTTGCTCTGGAGCCTTCCTGGTGTGGACACAGCGCTCTCAGGTAGATAGAGGCCACCAGCTGGCACACACAGACTCAGCTGCTGCTTACGCTGGTGTCCTGGGTGCATGAAGGAATTCAAAAGAGTGGAATCATTTGCAAATGAAAAATGCATACAAAAACGAGGGGGGGGGAGAGCTCTATGACAGGCAGATGAATGCAAGAGTCAGTTGAGAGACACCACTGTGCCTTCCAGCTCTAGCCCTGCACTGCCGGGTTCTCCAGTGGCTCTCAGGCGTGGAACTTGGAGTGTAGAAGGTGGACTCTTACTGATCCACACCAGTGACACGACTAGGAAAGATCCTCAGAAGGAAAATGTACTGCCTGCCCCCACAGTTATTCGGCAGCAGCAAAGAGGAGCGCTGAGCCGCCCGCACCGTCTCATCCCTGCTGCACTGAGGCCTGAGAGACGATGACCGGACAACTTGGAGGACAAGAACAAGGTGTGTCAGAGTGCGCCATCATGTGCATGCCTGAAGTCAGGTCTTTAAAGTCGCCTCCTTTTTCTAATCAGAACTAACTCATGATCGTGAACTTACTTCTAAAGTGTGTCTATGGTATTCTCAGTTTTAAGGTAATTCTGCCGCCTCATTTCAGGGTGTTTTCATCAGCCCAGTATGGAATCCTGTTCTCAGACTCAGTCAGTTTTCTCTCAATCCATCTAGCAACCTCCATCTATGTTCAGCCCCTACAGATGTTTCCGTTGCCCTGGGCTTCTCATGCAAACTGCTCTGCAGCACGCGGTGTGATCTGTTGTTGTGGGCGTCTTAGGTCAGTAAACTGCACTGAGGGTAAACCGCATGCATCTATGTTATAGCATGCATCCATGTTGTGGCATGCATCCATGTTGTGGCATGCATCTATGTTCGAGCATGCATCTATGTTATAGCATGCATCTATGTTGTGGCATGCATCTATGTTGTGGCATGCATCTATGTTATAGCATGCATCTATGTTGTGGCATGCATCTATGTTATAGCATGCATCTATGTTGTGGCATGCATCTATGTTGTGGCATGCATCTATGTTGTGGCACACATCAGCACTGCACCTTCTTTATGGTTACCAAGTAGTCATCATGGGAGTGTAACATGTTTTGTTTTCCTGTATATTAGCTGATGACAACTGGCTGCTTTCCACATCTCGGCTACTAAGGATAGTGGCATTGTGACTCTCATGCCCACATGAATGTTTGACTTTTATTTCTTCTGCAAATATGAGTTGCTGGGCCTCATGGCAGCTCTTTAACATTTTCGGACCCGGCTGAGCTGTTTCTTGCTAGGTATGTGCAGCAGTGCCCTGGGGACTCTGTTGCCCACATCCCTGTCAACACATCTTCTCCCCGTCTGTCCAAGCTGGGCTGACTTTGTCTATGGCTCTCTGCCTTTCTTGACCTCAACCAGTTCAATACGGTGTGAATTTATAATTTATTTTTGGTTTGTTAATGTCTGGTTGAAGTTTTAATTAAGGTCTGAGAGCTTTGAGTCCCCTGTTTCACAAGTTATTGCTGGCATCCCTTCCTAGACTCTCTTTAGGCCCATGCCCTTGTACTTGATAGCTTGTTTATGTATCTATAGTATGATGACTCATCCTTGACGTTTATCGTGTATCTTTACTAACTACAACACAGACTCGATGCCGTCGGTCAACTGCCCTCTAAGCTCCGACTCTTCCTTCTGCTCAGGCCTGCTGCTCAGGGAAGTTGTAGACTGAACTGTGTCCTTCCGCGCGCACGCCTAATGTTCAGCACTAGTCCCTGTGCCTTTGTTTGGAAATTGGGTCACATTAGTTAAGATGAGCATGCCCTGCATCGGTGTGGACTCCGAGGGACCACCAGTGTTTTGACAACAGGAAAGTGTGGACACAGAGACACAGAGGCAACCGGGACATGTGGTGGCCGGCAGGGAGTGGAAAGCCAAGGTCAGCCAGGGACTTCAGCAGACACTAAGGAGGCAGAGAAAGACAAGTGTCCATAGCTTCAGAGATCGGGCACATTCAGGATGGTATGGTCGTCAAACAAATGAGCTCCCTCTGACACCGTGACATGGAAGTGTCTGTCCTCCAGAATGAAGTGAACATCTTTCTGCTTGTCTAAGCCACATGGTGGTTTGTTCTAGCAAACACAAGACCCTACCAAAAACTCCTCTCTTAAGAGTGGAAATTTAGGTTGATATTTTGCGTATAGACTCTGCTGTGGTGTATATCTCTTATTTTCTGTTTTATAAATGGAGGGAATGGAGAAGGTCCCTGGTGAGTGCAGACCCGAGTGAATGTGTCTTGACGTGGCCTAGCCGTGTCAAAGAGCCCAGAGCCTCAGACCCATGGAGGACGACATTAACACCATCCCCCTGGGTGAGTGAGATTCAGGGGCATAGCAAAGCCTTCCTTGGACCAAGTGCAAATGTTAAAAGTGTGTGCAGAATCTGCCCACCATAGTTTTCTCCACTCTGGAGTTATAGTCTGAAGACTGCCCCCCTATAGAGACTGTGCCTGTCAAGATTAGCTGTATCTGTCTACTTCTTCAGTTGTAAACCACAAAGTCTGTGTCCTTGTTTATTTGCATGTAATAACTCTGCCTCCTTGGCAGCCATGTGCCATAACTCCTCCTCCCTGCTCTGTTTCATATTGTAAACACACTCAGCTTCTGTGGTGCTGCGGTTTCTCCAGCCTACAGCCCCGATCACCCAGCTCCCCCATATCTGTGTGTATCCGTCTGTGTGTATCTTTTCTTCATTCCCTTGTTGCCATGATCAGGTCTGTCCTGTAACTGCATGGATACGGTGCAAGAACACTCTTTCCACGCACTTGGATTTTAGGAATAGTTAGCTTAATTTTTTGAATGCGTTTTCAAAAGGTGATACAGCTTCTGCCTAATAACTCTTACATCCAGACTCCTTAAGGGATTGTATCTATTGTGTATATCCACACACATGTGTGTGCGTATGTGTGTGTGTACATTTGTTGAATTTATGTGTTTTGTAATTCTCTAGGGATTGTACTCAATGTGTACTCAGACAAATGGATGATCTGTTAGAGAAACACTAAGCAAAATGCAGAGAAAAGAGGGTGCATGGGCAGAGTCTAGAGGACCAACACAGGTCTCCAGTCACCTTGGAATTTGTGACACGGCGTATAAAAGAATATTACAGAGAAGCGTACCGGAGCCTCAGTCATCAGAGCATCAGAAGGGGACAGTGGGCTTGGGGACTAGTAATCTGATGCCCTCGTCCTCAGACATGCTTAACTTTCAATGTGCCAGGAAAATCGTCAGGTGACCACTGTGAACGACCAGTGCTGTGTTTGATGCCCAACTGGCCCGGAACTCAGAACATTCCGACCAACTGCCCACGTGACAGTTGCATAAATAATTAGATCTGCCTGAACTGGCCCCACCTGGAGGAGAGTTACGATGAAGGGGCTGGGAGGAGCGGTTGGGCTGGGGCTGGATGGTCCAGGGAAGTTTACGAGCTCCCAGGGTCATATTGACCAGACCTGACCCACCCACTGCAGCAGCCTGGACACACGCGAGGCTGAGAACTGGCTGCAGCTGCAGCGCTGTGAGCCTGCACACACACACACACACACACACACACACACACACACACACACCGCTCATATCCTGGCTCACTGGGACTCAGCTGCTACTGTGCCAAAGGCGCTCACTACTATGGCCTGGCTGAAGGAGCCCAGCAAACCCTGCACTGGGGTAGATAGCAGGATGCCCTTGGTGGCTGCTTCCTGGCCTGGCCTGGATTCCTATGACAAGGATCTCTTGCAGGCACTGCAATAGTTTTCTGGGATATCCTGTTTGAACATATTAGCATTTTTACCTTAGTGTTCTTCAGCCACAAGCTTAGAAAGCATATTCAAAAGAGGAACACTGGTGCCCAGGGAACGGATCACCACGCTTAGGCGCCCAGGGAACGGGTCACCACACTTAGGTGCCCAGGTGTCTTTTTCTTCTGTTGTCCTCCAGCTGCCTCAGGGGCCAGCTGGACCACAGTCGGACTGGGAAGAGGGTCTGACAGTGTGGCGTAAACTTAAATTGCTCAAGGGTCAGACTCTGGGGTAGTTTAGAGAGAGAAGGCAATATAGTGACCCAAAGTCCAGGCACGGGCCTGCTGGCCTTTGTTCTGTCTCAATTAGAAGCCTTGGGGCACGGGAAAGGGACTTCACGTTCTCGTTTATTTACTGGAATGTCCCTTTGGTTATCCACTGTTCTCATAATAGAGCGATTGCACGTGATGCCTGAGGAAAAGGGACTGGTGCTTCCTGGCTATGCCTAAGCAACCAGCACTACCAGTCTGGACAGAGCCCGATGTCTGAGGCTGTCGCCTCTAGCCAGAAAACTCTGGGGTCCATTTGTTAGGTTCGGCTTGGTAATGCGAGCCTTGGTATGGCGAAGTTCCCCATTATCATCCCTGTGGCCCCGTCAGCCCTGTGGAGGGAGTGGAACGTTGTTTATCTGACCGTCCATGAAGGAACTTGTCCAGGGTCACACAGGTCTCATGGGCCAGATGGAAGAAATGCATTTGGATTCCTGGGGACATAGAGCATCAGCCAGAGTCCACGATGATGCTGCGGACTCCCTACCAAGGGCTTCCCTCACTCCTTTTCCCAGATGTTCTCACCCCACAGAGACTGTGGAGAGAGAGTAGGCACCCCGAAGGCGTGCTTGGCCAAAAGAATGGCATGTAGCTGACCCAGACTCCTCCCTTTGCATTGCAGTCCTGCACCAAAAGTTAGGGCGTGTTCCCCAAAGGCAGCCACCTGAAGGGGAGAAGACTCTACTCTAGGTCCTGCTTTCTAAGAATTCTCCTCATGAGCTGCAAGGGTGGGCCCCGGAGGACCATCAGTCTCCTTGGCTCAACACTCAAACCTTCTAAAGTCGTCCAGGACCCCACCACAGCGGGTCAGCTTGCACTCAGCTGAAGAGCCCCAGATAAACCGTTAGTTCTGACGACTCAGGACAAAGTGGTACCAAGGCTAGTGAAGGAAGCTGACGTATATCTATGGGCATCTTTATTGATCTCATACATGGTCCTTCAGCATGAAAGAGGCCTGACTGTGATCAAGAACTCACAACTGTGTCTGCTCCTATTTCTTCCTCATAAAAACCCATAGTACCGCCCACTCATCAAAACCTACACAGGACTAGGGAGAAAAGCCAACAGCTACTACCTGTGATGGTGGCACAGCATGGTCCATGCCAAGAACTACCCAGCTCTTGCTATCACTAAACGTTCCTTAGTCCATACATTAACCTGGTGGCAGGGTCCTTCTAAAGCAGTCCTAGCAGGACCCAAACAGCAAGGGATTTGTCCTCACCCACCCCATGGGTGCCCCACTCTGAAGCCCCAGCCTCTCCTTTCTGAACACATCTGAGTCTAAATTGCTCTTAGTGATGTCAGGTTTTGACAAGTGTCTTCAGCTATGTCAGGGCTGGAATTCAGCTTTCCTGCGGTTTTGGTTGCTGAGGTGGCACCGAGAGTGTCCTGTCCTAGGAAAAACTGGGTGGGTTTCCCTTCAGATCTGCACTCAGAAAGAATGGAAGAAGTTGGCACAGTTTTTAACTGGGTGTTTGGTAGAACTCAGAGGAGGAGGCTCCCTGGGCCTGAGGTTTGTTTTGCCTCCTAGAAATTTACCCTCGATATAAAGCAGACACGTGAGCACCATGAGATCTGGAAGAGTCCAGCACAACACTAATTCCCTAAGTCACCCAGTCACTCTAGCCAGTCCAACCCCATTTTACAGAGGAGAGGACAGGCAGCCAGGTGGCTGTGAGAGCCAGGGATGTAGGTCGCTGACCTCCAGGTGTCATTTTCTCACTATAGGAGTTTGTAGAGTCACAGGAAGGGGTGCAAGGTCCCAGGGGAGATTCAGGGACAAGGCAGGCTGGCTGGGAGGCTGTGTAGTTCCAGAAGGCTCCTCAGATGTCTTGCGGTTCACATCCAGCACAGTCACCGAGGTCTGTCTTGTGACATTAGCTAAGGATGCTGTGTGTGGGAAGAGTGTGACCTGGGCTTTCACTGGGCAGGCCTCAGGGGCAGCTCTGACAGTGACCCAAAGCAGACCAAACCCTGGGGTGGAGAAGCTGAATCTCAAGTGCATGTGATAACTGGGTGGAGCCATGCAGTCCCTCCTTGCCTACTCTCTAGAAGCCATCCTGAAGCCTCCATTTAATTAGGAATTAGCCCTTCGTGTTTCTTCAAGTATTTCATTTCTTATATCCGCACCCAGCTCGCTTGTGCCTTTAACTAGAAACAAGTCCTAGCCGGAGGAGGACTTCTCAGGACACACATTCACTTCATGAATTGTCCTATGATCTTGAGCTTTCTCGCCTGGCCACCATGGCTCTTTTCCTAAAATTGAAAGCCAAGGAGGCGGAGGGGAGCACGGGAGTCCTTTGCCTCGGCTCCCACCCCTCACCCCACCCCACTGCCCCCTCATCCTGCTCTTCACCCCTCCCCACTTTGCCCAGCTGTTGTGTGTTCAGTGTAAGGACTGCTGAGGAGCACGGTGTGGGATCGCACCACTGGCTCAGCGTGTACCTAAAACATGTGGTAGAACTCAGAGGAGGCCCCCTGGGGCTGAGGCTTTCTCCCCGGAAATTTACACTCAATAGAGAACAGGCACATGAGCAACATGAAACATGGAAGAGTCCACAACATTAATTGCCTAAATTGTCCACTAAATGTTATCAGTCCACCCAATCGAAACTGTTTCACAGAGAGGAGAGGACAGGTGCGGTGAACACCAGGGATGAAGGAAATGTGCAGTCACGGGGAAGGAGGCGGCTGGGAGGCTGTGCAGTCTCAGAAGGCTTTTCAGACCTCCTGGTGCTCAGATCCAATGACCACCAAATTCTGTCTTGTGATTTTAGCTAAGGATATTGTATGAGGGATGACACTGACTCTTCTTTTTCCTGAATTACATCCATTCCCTTTCTCTTTGTCCACTAACTCCTGCCACAAGCATCTCTAATCGGAGAAGATAGAGGAATATAGACACCCTTCAGTCCAAGGCATCTTTGGCCCCATTACTGTAGGTCTGGAACCCTTGCCATGGCATTAGGGATAAAATGAGTCCCATATTGGGTAACTGAGTCATCGCCTAGCCTCTGACATCATATTAGACACGGAGACAATACTGAATCTACATACTTACCCCTAAATTCCCAGACCATTAAGACACTAAATGCAAGTATAGAGGTGACACATTTCTCCAATGCCTGAGTCTTTGGGTTAAGGAACCACGTGTAAGGGACCTGCCAGGGTTTGCACAGCACACCGTAGGAATGAATTGAAAAGACAGTTAGCAAGGAACAGTAGGGATATACCCGGAGTCCAGGGATCCAATAGCTCTGTCTGGATAGAGTGACATTCCCGGAGGGAAGCATCCACCCTTGGCCTGTCGGTTCTAGCAGAGGAAGCCAGTGGGTCTATGAGAGTTGAGGTATAAGTCCCTCCTGCCCAATCTCTGGGCTTCCTGCCTGGCCCCAAAAGGAACTGAGGGGCAGCTGGATAGAGCCCTTTCATCCTTGGGCGAGACAGAGGCTGAGCTGAGCCAGCCCACACTTCTCTTTGCTGTCATTTGATGTCAGTTCTCAGTTCTGCCCTGAACGCTCAAGTCCTGAATCCCGGAGCTGACAGACTGAGGGTGCAATGTGGAGAGCCTCACCCACCACCTGACACCCGCTAGAGCATTGTCCCCATGTTCACGGCTGACGGTGCAGTGTGGAGAGCCTCACCCGCCACCTGACACCTGCTAGAGCATTGTTAAGTCACACCCCAAACCCAAATCCTGTGCACCACACAGTAGATGCGCTACCAAACATCCCAAGGTTTTGAAAATTCCAGGGACAAAGGAAGGATCTGGCCTCCTGGGAAAGGTCCCTTCTAAATATCAGAGCAAGGAAAGTGTTGGCAATCAAACACCAGCCTGAGGCACACAACCCTACGACGGGGGCCCTGAAACACGGAAGAGCAGACTTCTGTGCCCTTCTCTTCCTGCCCACTGCACAGAGCCCCCTCAGTCTCCGAAGCAGAGGGTGCACATGACTGCTCTGGGTATAGTCTCCCATCTCTGGCGACGTCACCCATTGTGGCCAGAAGCGCAACCGCCAGCAGACAGAAGTAGGAAGTTCTAGACTGTGGCTGCTGCTCCAGCTGGGGTCTCGGGGCACCGCACAGGATCACCGCTCTTTCCTTCGGGCTCTAGGACCCACACTGGGCCCTGCGGAGTCAGAGGCCTTCAGCAGGACGTTGGTCACCCTTGATCTCCGTGGGAGTTGGAAACTCTCAAATGAAA